CATGGGCTGCCCATATAACCAACAGATCTGTGTTTGAAAAAGTGCAGCCAGAGTGCTCCTTGGAGGCCAAGATGTCCAAATTTCGTCTCTCATACGTTGGACATATTGTCAGGAGGGACCAGTCCCTGGATAAGGATATCATATTTGGTAAGATGGAGGGTCAGAGAAAAAGAGGAAGACCCCCCAGGGAGATGGATTGGCAAAGTTGCAGCATCAGTGGGCTCAAGCGTGGCAACAATCGTTAGGTTGGCCCAGGACCGGTCAGTGCTTCGTTCTGTTCTGCGTAGAGTCGCTATGAGTCAGTACTGACTCAACGACACCTAACAACAACAACAACAACAACATCACTACAGTGGCTCTCCGTATATATGGGTGGGTTCCTCTTTCAGGGACTCAAACAACCATGGATTAAAATTATTGGAGTAAAACAAATAAACAAAAAAAATTATTTGTCAAAATAATCCCTCAAAGATTCATAGGAGCAAAATGTGCTATTTATGTAGAATTTACATTTTATTATGCATTAAAAGTAATCTAGAAATGATTTAAGGAATATGGGAGGATATGCATAGGTTATATGCAAATACTATGTCATTTTATATAAGGGACTTGAGTAACCATGAGTTTTGCTATCCACAGTTGTCTTGAAACCAATCCCCCATGGATACTGAGGGACGACTGTACTCATTTGCTATATACTTAGATCATTGTTTTTCTCCTAAATAGAGGAATGAGCTCAAAAGTTGGTCTTCTGATGTGTTAGTACTTAGGTTAGAATCTCGGTCTTCTGACTCTAAGGAAGTGGTTCTCAACCTTACAATTACATGGGGTACTTTATAAAATTCGAGTGTCCGGGCAATGTTGTTGTTGTTAAGTACCACCAAGTTGGTTCCAACCCATAGTGACCCTGTATAGGGTTTCCGAAGAGCAACTGGTGAGCTTGAACTGCCGACCTTGTAGTTCAAATTGACTTTACAGTCCAGCACATTAACCCACAGAGCCACACATATTAGAATTTCTGGAACTGGAATTCAGGTATATTCTTTAAAAACAAAGCCTCAGGAATCAATGACTTTATTAAACTCCTTTTCTTTTTTACTAGCATCGTTTTCTTAAATTTAGGGGGTTTGATTCAGTTACATATGTAATTTTAATTACACAATTTATAAATCATATAGAATTAAATTCTATCCCAAGAGGAATCCTGGGTTGGTGCTGTAGGATCAGCACTGTACAGGGAACCACAGGATCAGCAGTTCAAATCCAC